ATGTTTTGTGTGCGTGGCCCCAATAGGCGACGCCGCGGAAGGGTTTTCCACTGGATGCGTTGCAGGGGTTTCCGGTGGCGGCGATGGAGGCGTCAGCGTGGGGGCGTCGGGGGCAAGTGGCGTAGGGGGAGGGGGCGGCGCGGCGGCGGCGGGAACAGACGGGAGGAAGACGTCGGCCGGTAGGGGGGGAGAGGCTGTCGATGCACAAGAGGTGGCGAGACTCAGGGAGCACACGGAGTCACTGGAACGGTGGGATATTGTGTCCCCAACAATGAGAATTATGAAATACCTGAAACAAGACAAGCTGGTGTGACACGTACCGAAGTGGGGTCGGCTTCGTGGCCACGGTATGCACGGTTCAATTGTTGACTGTTTTCAGCTTGTAGTTGTCGCTCTTGCAGGCTAGGAGGTGGATTGGGGCATTTTGTTTCGGCATGACTGCTAGTTGGTCCCTGCATGGTTCCTTGCATACAGAAGGCGTGCCGCAAGTTGCGTGTGTGTTGTAGCAGAGCGTTCGTGGCCACAGAAATGTGAGAGTCCTGGCCAAGTATCGCGCGCAAAAGGCCGTTGTCTTTTTCCCTGCAGATCCCGCCCAAAACATAGCAACACATGCTTTTGAATTGTATTGATTTGCTGGACTCGAACACATCGTTCAATGGCGATCTCTTCTGTCTGTTTCCGCCGATCTAGGCCGGAATACCATCCGTCGGAAACCGCACTACAGATTTTGAATCCCATCTTTTCCCAGACTTCAGTCTTTCCACTTTTCGGCAAGTCGTCATCTTCTGCGTGCATGAGCCGGGGTCACGACCGCAAAACAGAATGCTGGGGCATTTACTCGAACGGGCAGTCGAAGTCTTTTTGCGATTATTGTTTTCCAAGAGCATTACTCCCGTTGTCAGCTGGTTCTCCCTCTCGTTGCCCTCTTGTTTGCTTCTCCGTGTCGGCGAACCCAAGGAAAGTCGCCATTATCCGATGAGCTGACTGTCCTCCCTTTCTTTTTTTTCTTGGCGTTTTTTTTTTTGCGCGCGTCTTCGGTTTCGGTGGCAAAGATATGTCGAGATGATCCGCCACGAGCTGACGGACCTGGATGACGTCGACGTGAGCATGTCGGGATGGCTCTTCAAGTGGAGGGACCAAGACGCGTACCTGTGGGGATCCGTCAAGTGAGATGCAAATGTGGAAAAAATTCCCTGGTTAGTTTCTGCTGTGTTACCATGGTATTTTTTTTTGTACTACGCTGTTGGTGTGAGGGCTGTTGAGAGGCTGGTTACAGAGTCTGATGTCGAATCCATCCGAGGTACACGCCTCCAGCACGTCCGCGTCGCTAGTGATGAGGTGCGGCCTCGCGTTATCCTGCTGCAGGAAGATGGGGTTGTAGCGAGTTGCAGCTGGCCACATCTCTTTGATTGCGGGGATCACCTCGTCGATCAGCTTCGCCTTGTAGGTCTCCTTCGTAACCTCCACACGCTTCGTGACGAGAGTCCCAGCAGCCCGGTTCCGGCTGTTGCGCACAGCCGGAACCTTCTCCGTGAAGGCCCACATGCCGACCTTACCGTTGAAAAGGGCGTTGGCGGCTGAGTTGTGACGTGGGCGAGGTACAGCGACGATGAACATGACCTTCGTGGTGAATCTCTTGCTCTAGACCTTGCGGACAGGGGGGATCTCATCTTCGTACAAGTAGAACTTCTGCCCATCCGTGTACAGGTAGAACCATTTCTCATCCACGTGCACGAAGTCCTCGAAGTCGTTGAACACCCTGGTACCGCCCGCTGCAGGGCGTACCCACCGCAACGACTCAGGTGGTATCTGGCGACATGCCGAAGTTGTTTGACGTCTCACAATGACCAAACGGCCTATTTTGGAGCATATAGTGCAAACCTCGCTTATTTTCGGAATATCCAAATCAAGCTTATATATCGGGGCAGAGGGATTATATTGTGTTTCGTTTCCCGTCATTTTTGTTGTATATATATGCATGTTTCATTAATGGTATTGATGTTACTCTTTGCCGCGGAGATGGGATTTACATGCAGGATTTTCATCGTTTCGGCGCGTTCATTCGAAGACGCGATGGAACAGCCTGCAATTTTAGGTGTCAAGCGTTTCATCTTTCGGGCAATGAGCCTTCCGGCGATGTACGTGTTCGTTTCGGCCGCCGAGTGCCTACGTTTCGTCTTGACAGCAAGCAGTCTCACCTAATAGACATCTTAATCCCCTTGAAAACATTTTAAAACACCCGCGCGCACAAACATTACACCACTTTTTTTTTCTACATCCGACGATGAGGTATCCTGAAGCTTGCCCATGCGAACCACACCTGGTTCCGATTGACCCGCGTTGTGTCGCAGGTGGGTGCCCCGGTTCTTCACACTTTCCGACGGCAAGCTTAGCACGTACAAGTCGGACCAGAGCGCCGAGGCTGAGTCGGTGATGAGCCTCAAGCGGTGCGTGTTGCGAGACGAGGGCACGAGGATGGGGAAGGCGCCGGGTCGCGGAAAGGTTTGTGTGTGTGTTGCGTAGAGGGGGAGAAGGAGAGAGAGAGAGAGAGAGAGAGAGAGAGAGAGAGAGAGAGAGAGAGAGAGAGCGCAACATCGCAGAAAAGTCAACTAGATACCCGTCAATGTTCGAGTGTTTCGAAGTGACATCCCCAGTGGACGTTTCCTCCAGCAGAGTTTGTGGCAGGGGATCTTTTCCAGTAGTGCGTTGAACGTTTTCCAGCTTTGTCACCGTCCTGCCCAGGGTATCCACACACATTATCGAACAATGGGTTGTTTCTCGTTTACCGCGTACTAGGCACCGAGGATTTGGCAACGCACACCAAGGGTTTCCTTTGCACGGTGGCGTTCCTTTCCCCAATGTTTCCCCTGCTGTAACGGTGGACCCGTGTGTTTTCAATTTTCAGCCTCGTCCCCAGTACCACGTGTTCGGCCTCTACCTGGAGGGGGCGATGCAGAGGGGCCCCGATGCGGGGGTGCTGCTTCGCCTGAGCACCGACAAGGAGGATGTGGCGGAAAGGTAGGTACCTGCAAGTCTTGCGTGTTGTCGGATTCGCGTCGTAAGTTTGTTGGTACTGCTGCTGCTGCTGCCTGCTGCTGCTGTTGTTGTTGTTGTTGTTGTTGTTGTTGTTGTTGTTGTTGTTGTTGTCCCTGTTGGTGTTGCTACTGGTAGTCTTGGGGGGGTGTTGACAATGATGACTCGTCGCTCAGAGAGGGTCTTCTCTCGTGCTTGTGCTGCAAGCAGGGTCGTCGCTGTGCCTTTGCCTCCGATATACACCAAACCCCCAACCAAACCCCCCCCGCCCCCGCCCCCCAAACCGAATTCCTCCAGGTGGATCTCCGCCTTGGGGAAGGTCTGCGCCCAGGAGGAAGACCACAGCTCTCCCGCCTCTTCTCCCTGCGCTTCGGAGGCTGACCAATCAGAGGCCACGCCGTCGTCGTCGGCGTGCTCGTCGCCGGTGGTCACGGAGTCCATGCCTCCTCCGCCCCCGCCCGCACACGGGTTAGACCCGGCGCCGCGCATGAGCCGGATATCGTCGGTGAGGATGTCCCGGAAGGGCAGCTGGGATGTGGCGGGGGGGCTTCAGAACCTGAAGAGGTGAGAGAAAATCCGTTGCTGTTTTTGGGGGGGGAGGGGGTGTTGTTATTTTTAGAAAGAGGGCGCGGGAGAGAGACAGAGAGAGCGACAGACAGACAGAAAGACAGACAGAGAGAGGAGAGCAATTCGAGTAAGCGGTTGTTTTGGCGATGGAAGAAGACGTGGAACCTTGTTCGTGGGAACGTTGCTGTGAAAGCCTCGGTTCGGTCCAGGATAAGACCCTGCTTGCCGAGTCCTGCCCCCACACAACCCGGCGTATTATTACGTATGCACGACCGACGCGATTTCATTGGTTGGTCGGTTAGCACGGGCGGTGCTACAGTTTCAGAAGCACGTGCAGCCCCACTTCATTGTCTGTTCCATACGCTGTAAGGGTAAGGATAAACACTGACACCGGGCACGACCATGACCCCCCCACCCCCCCCCCAGAAAATGTATCAAGTCGTTCGCAGCTGCCATCCGTGTGCAAAGCAGTAAGCGCCAGATGCAGAACACCCTCGCATCGCGCCCTTCATGCGACTCGTCGAACACCTGACCGCGCTTCATCGCGCTTGGTGGTGCGAGGACCTGGTCCTTGAGGAACCCGGCGTGCTCCGTCCTGGCCTTGTAGGGATGCGAGGTCAATGGTCGAACGAACTACGGCATGTGCACGACTTTTGAGTACACCCACCCCGCCCCCGTTGGTACCGCAGGTTGACCCAAGAGGTGAACATCGGGCGGCTCGACGGAGACGACCCCCTTGAGCGCAGTGCAAGGGTCTCCGACCAAGGGGTAGCGAGCGACGAGCACGACAAGAGGAACACGATGGTCAAGGCGAAGAGGAAGAAGAAGAAGAAAAAATTCGAGCCGACGGGATACCCGGCGAGCCGCCCGATGCACAGGGAGGTAAGCAAGGAGCACCATTGTGAGATTCCAGACGTTTTTTTTTTTTTTAAGACGCAGCACTGCCCATGCAACACAGCTCAACAATTTTTGACGCAACACAGCTCAAGAGTACTTTCCAAGGGGAATGTGTTCAGTTGTGTGGCAACCCTTGAGTGCCAGAACCTTTACCCTGCAGCGAAGTCCCCAAGGCAGCACATGAGTACTCTGCCATACGGCACCAATACCGTGTTCTTTTTTTTGTGAAGGCGTCGCGATAGAAGACGCCCTTGTCCTCCTAAGCTGTCGGCTTCGTCGTGGAGACCAAGACCTACAGGAGAGAGACGAGGGTATGCATGCGGTGATATTTTGTCTCATGAGCGCGGCCCTACCCCCTGTGTACACCTCCCCCCCGCCTTCTCTTGTTGGAACGATCAGGCCAAGATGAGCATCTTGAGCGCCGGCGCCTCCTCGACCCAGAACTACCGCGGCCTGCTGAACCTCATGGCCATCCTTCTTTTGGTGACCAACTCCCGCCTCATCTTCGCGAACCTTCGGTGGGTCCCCTCACCCCATTCTTTTTTCGTGTAGCGTGTGGATATGCAGATTTTTTTTCCTTGCTTGTCTTCGGTGCAAATCAGCGCAACAAATGGCGGCGGAAAGTCACTTTGTCTTTTTTTTTTGTCTTTTTATCTCTTTTTTGTGATTCATGGTGGATGGTGGCATGTGTGTTTTTGCCGGTGACACGGGAAAGACCCCTCTCTTCCTGACTTTATTTGCCAGAGGGCCAGTCAGTCTTCGCTTTTTCCTGAACGATCCCCTTGTGTATCACGGGATAAGGTGGCTGCCGCTGCCATGTCCTTCTACCCCACCTACCCCGCCAGGGCCACCTATGTGATGGTTAGACTAGCTCCGTGCAGCGTGAACCCGCCCTCATAGCAAAATCCCTGCCTGCTCCTGGTGCTCATGGGCGATTGCCGCCTTGCTGTCGGCGATACTACTCCCACCGTCTTCCTGCTGACGGCGGCCACGATTTGGTTCAACTCTCACGCATTTATTTTTTTTTTTTGGTTAGGCGGTACGGTGTGTTGGTGACCGCCCCCACGCTCAACGAGCCGAGCGACCTGTTGGACGCCCCTCGCATCGCCGGCACGCTGTCGCTGGTGAGTTAATCAGCACCACCATCCTGCAGTCGTTCCGGCTGCTGCGTACCATCACGTGGGAGGCAGACAGGGTGGGTAGGTGGGTTTGGGTCCGCTTAGAGCACACGCGGAGGTTGGGTTCCTTCGTGTTCGAGACCGGGAAACAGGACGGAAGGGTGTGGCGTCAAATCCGCGGTTTGTTTAGGTCCTTTCTCGCGTTACAATAGCTCTGTCGGTTGTTAATGGAAAGGAAAAGCTAGGAGGCAAGAGAGAGGGTGGTTCAGAGAAGAGGAGGGCAATGCCGTGGGCGTCTTCCGGTGGTCGTGGTGTTGGAGTATTCTTTGTCGGCTTGGTGCTGCTGTTGTCTAGCTCCCTTGTCCGGCATTCTTCGGTCTTGGGGGGGGGGGGGGGNGGGGGGGGGGGGGGGGGGGGGGGGGGGGGGGGGGGGGGGGGGGGGGAGACTGCTTTCTGTGAGGGCTTCCTTGTCGGACCTATCCCATCCGATTTTTATCTTGAAGCCGTGAGGCTTGTTTTCATGCTCGCAACAACTTTGCGCTCCCCTCCCTCTCGCTCTCTCCCAATGTGTTGTGTGCCTTTGTCTGCCTGTCTTTCGGTCTCTTTTGCCCCTGTCTGCCTCTTCCCCTCTCACCCCCCCTCATCCGACCACCCCCCTCCCTCACAATCAACTCCACAACCCCACTGCTGGTGTCGACGACGAAACCGACGACGACGACGAAACCGACGACGACGACGAAACCGACGACGACGACGAAACCGACGACGACGACGAAACCGACGACGACGACGACAGATCCTGCACGTCGTCTGCGCTAACCTGGTCGAGAAGCTCGCCATGCCCAGGCCGGGCAACAGTAAGGGCATGCTTTTCGGCGCCGAGGTGAGAGAGGGGGCAAGCGACCGCCCTCCTGGGGTCCTGGAAGGTGCATTGTCCTCGCCACCAGCCAGATGACGGTGACGGGCGCGCGGGTGGTAAACAGGAGGGTTGGTAAACGGGAGTGGTTATCCTCTTAAGGGGCGCGTGTAGAGTACTAGAAGTAGGTGTTTTGATGACCGGCCACATGCTGTTCTTCTCCTTGCCTCCCTCCGTCAGTTCGTCCCTTTGTTGGTGTGTGCAGCCGGATGGGATATTTTGGAAACTTGGTACGTGTGGCAACCAGAGAGTGTCAACTGCCGTTTACTCTGCCGGTGACGCTAGGTGAAGACCCGCACACGCACGCTAGCCTAGCCTCCCCCATACGCTGTCCCAGATCATGGCCTTTGGAAACGTTTCAGCCGCACTTGAGACTACCGTCTATTCGTATTTGGCCAGCCGGTTAGCACGGTGGATTAACAGCAAAGACATCTCATCCTTCTCGCAAACGCGGTTAAGGCGGAAAGAACTACATGACAACCAAAAAAGACCACTTCCTCCTCGCAAAAATCGCTCTCTCGCGCTCGCGCGTGCGCGCGCGCGCGCGTGTGTGTGCAGTGGCCCGTGCTTCTGCTGCACGGAATCAACATCTTCCTCTGCCTGGGCATTGCGGTGGCCGTCGTCTGGCGGTCTGAGGGCTCCCCCGTCTTCGGCTTCGCCTATCTCTTCACGGCCGTCATCTTGTGGATGAAGCTAATCTCATACGCCCACTGCAACCGCGACCTCCGCCTGGCCTGGCAAGAGAAGGCCCTCGCGGCAAAGAGAAAGGGGGCCGATGGAGGGGGGGAAGGGGGGGGTG